CGCTTCGATCGAGCTGATTGATCTGCGAACCATCTTGCCATGGGATCGAGAAACGGTTGTCGAGTCGGTTCGAAAGACGGGAAGATGCGTCATCGTCCACGAAGCTCCCGTCACTGCTGGTGTTGGGGCCGAGATCTCGGCTCATGTGCAAAAGGAGGCTTTCCTGAACCTCGAAGCGCCCGTCGAGAGAGTCGGGGGTTGGGACACGCCTTTTCCTCATGTACACGAGAGCTTTTACAAGCCAGGACCCACGCGCATCCTCGACGCTCTTGTTCGAACCCTGACGTACTGATGCGGCAACCATGTACATGCTGTTGAATGCATGAACCTTTGGATCGGCTCGTCTCGCAGGAATGTGCTGTTCTAGTGTGTTCAGGTTATAGCCTTCGCAGCGTGGAGGGACGTTGTGTGGCAGGTCGCATTCCCTGACGGTGCTTTCATCGTCAAGTAGACAAAGTGTGCAGGGCTGAGCAGGTTCAGCACAATGACCACTCCGTGTCCAGGAAGTCGGCGGTCGCTGCCCGACAAAGATGTAGCCAGCAGCGTCTGCTACTACGCTCCATCACCGCGGTGGATGAATTTTGAGGCGCTTGGCTACTGTAATCAGCGAATGTGCCAGATCAAAGAGGTGCAGCCTGAATTCATCGCTCAGGGGTGAATCCTTTGCTTCGTATCGCGAAAGAGCTTGAGGCTGCTGATCCACGAAACGTGTGCATTCATTCATCTCAACGTGAACGCAAAAGTGTGGCCAAGGCCGCGAAGCAGTGAGATCCTCCAAGGTCTGGACCACGTCAAGATCTCCTCGTTTATGACTCCGCTTGCCGACGCGGCAGTGTGAGCACGGCTACGGCTAGAGCAACCAAGATGTGCGCATTCACACTTAGATTTTACCAGTAGACACGAGTGCCTCACCAGGTGCGCACTGCGGTTCAGAGAAGCTCCACAAAGCAGAATGGACTGTGCTTCTGAAGGAACGCGACATGGCGCCCTCAAGCGAACGAGATGCGGTGCTCCCTTGCTCCTTGTCCAAATGCGTACAGTACATAGCGTCGGTGCTGCGGATTGCGCATGTCTGGACTTTTCGAAATGAGTGGGTGGATCGATCTGAATGTGAATCACCGCCGCGACGAAAGCCGCGAGGTTTCACGCGGCGCAACCGTCGCGCTTCGACTATGAAATCAATCGTGCTGACTGGTCACACGCGGGCCTCTCATCTTGTCTCTCCTGTTGGATGCACGCATGCACACACCCTCAACCCTCACCCTAGACCCCCATCCTGCTGCGCATACACGCGGCACTTCCCTCAACGAGGTTCGCATCTCGCTCCGTTCCAGACCAAAGTCATCCCTCCGAACGCCCAAGACACGTTGCTCATGCAAAGCTTATCAGGACCGTCCCTGCGGCGCTCGGTAAGCTCGCCTAGCTGAGGCCTTGCGCGTGCGCAAGGGGCTTCTCCGCTTTCCTTCTTGTTGGCACCACAGCCAGCGTTCGTTCGAGAGAGCGCTTGAAATGACTGGCCCGGCCGGACTTTCGAACTTTATTTTGGGCAGAAGCAGCATCAGCCGATTGAGCACTCTCGTGACTCAGCAGACGCAGTCGAGGAACAAGTCCATTATTATTCTGATTCACGACTGGCGCCAGAGGCAATTGATCAGACACGCCGCTGAGATGGCACAAATCGGACCGCCTGCCGGCGTGTGACTCGGCTAGCTGCCGCAAATAGCAAATTGTGGATGCCGCTTTCGATACCTCGACAGCAGCACGGATGGTGACACGGTTCTCAATGTTCTGTCAACTTGACCCTATTGTGTCGGTCTAATCGCATCGCCACCTCGTTGCTGAAAGTGCAGTCGCAGTGACGTGGTGCGATTCTGTGCGTCGCGCGGAAGGCGACCATCCGCCATAGTCGCAGTCATGAGTACCTTGGCGAAGGTGGACCAAGGGCGGATGCCGATCTAGGAAAATCTCCGACCTGCGTGAGGGAGAGGGATCGGCCTCGAAGGCATCGAAGGAGAAGAATCGAGGCTACTTGTGCTCCGACGCATGTTCTTCTCGCAGCGATCAGCATGACAAGTCTCACTCAGACTCTACTGTAGGGCCGTCTCATCTCGACCGGCATCCTGCCCGATGAAGCTTGCGCTTACGATCCTCGACTTGCGCTTGCCGAATGGTCGAAATCGTGAATAATCAATCCCGCCATGCTCGCTACGCCACACACGGCGTTCCCCTTTGCCCAAGTTGATGCTCATCAGCACGCGGCGCGTGCTTGCTGCATGAGCTCGCGTAGCCCGTTGCCCACGTCCGCGCGCGGATTGAGGACGAGATTGGCGTTGGCTACACCTGACAATCGCAAATACGGAGCACTCACGACTGTGTGTTCGACGATGCGTAAAGTGGGTCTAGGGTATGCGGGAAATGAATGCAGAACAGCATGACACATACACAAGACGCTCAGTGAAAGCTAAGGAGATGCCGAAAGACCCAAACGCATGGACAGCATTCGTTTGCTCCGCACATTCAGGCCCAGGCACCAGGGGGTATGATCTCCGTGCATGCGTATAATTGCAACAAGTGACTTGCTTGCCGTTCCCCGTTCGGTGTCGATACAGCAGCAAACGCAACAGCTTTGTGTCGAGGATGCGAGACAGCAGAGCTCTTTTCAGGAGGAGGTCTCGTGCATTCACGATGGTCCGATAAGCGTTCATGTTGAT